ATTTGACTCGCAGGAGGGATATTGAGGAGTGGCAGCGTGAAGCATCGAAAGAAGAGCCAATCGGTACAGCTGCCCGTGTTCGCTCAAAGTTTTTCGGCCCACAGCCTGAAAAGCAGCAGCGGAATGGGAGCAGTGTTGCGGGACGGAGCTCCTGGCATCAGACGGTTTTCTGGGTGCGTATTCGTGCACCGGTTGGCGACCCCTTCTCCTCACCCTCCCACCCTCTCCCTGGCTCAGAATCGCTTCACCGGTTTCCATGCCCATCCCCACGCCCATGCCGATCCCCACCATCCCGCCGCCCCGGCTGGGGATGGTGCCCCTCGAAACCCGAGGGTAGCAGCCCGTATCCCCACCTGGAGGGGCTGAATCGGCCAGTGGGGCCCACGCCACGCCTGTTGGAACGGGGATTGGCGGAGCGATGCTCAGGTTTGAGCAGGGACCGTCCCGGCATTCCTGTAGTCCTACCACGAAATCTTCTCAGAACCCAAAAATGTTCTGAGAACCAGAACCATGTTCTTAGAACATGAACCCGATGTGTTTGTTAAAACAGGACAGGCTCCGCCAGAAAGGTTCCAAGAACATGTCGTGGAGACCAGAACAGGTTCCCAGAACACCTGTTTGGTAGGGCTCTGGGCGCGCCAGGACGCCTCGCCACTGCTGGACAGGTGGCCCTCCTCCCGCCCGCCCCCGCCCCGGCCTCCGCCGGCCCTGGCTGCACCAGCTCGAGCCCCGGGCTCGCCTGGAGCCCTCGCGGCCTCCCCCGAGGTCTGCCCGTCCGTCCCCGGGGGGGCCCGGAAGGCGGCTTCCCGGGGTCGGGGTGCGGCGGGGGGGTCGGACATTGGATCTCACCGCCCACCAAGCCACCCCACCCCAACCCAGCCCGAAGGCTTCAATTTGCCCTCCATTTCCAGTGTGGGGGGGGGGGTCGGGGAACATCGAAAAAACACATGGTCCCCGTACCCCCCCCGTCCCGAAGTTCGGGTCAAATTCGTCTCTTCGGGTTGGGTTGGGGTGGTCTGGTAGGTAGTCAGGATCGTATGCATTACCAGTGGCGGGCTGTTTCCTGAATCCCAGGTTTTTTTGAGGGTCGGGGACGACGCTGGGGTGGTGTGGTGTATACTTATTTCCTCGATGTCCCGGGAAAACAACGAAAAATGTATATACCAGGATCCTGTTTACACCAGAATCCGCGTTCCTGTGCGAATTTCAGCACAGGGTCGGGAAAAGCGTCGGTGTACAGAGTTCATTTCCCTGAGAGGGGGGTGATGACCAGGGGGGGTCGATATCATGGCGGGGGCTATTGGATATTTCCCCAGATTTCATGGCGCCTCTTCTTACTTCATTGCGTCACTGGCCCCCCACCCCTGGCCCGCGCACATGCCGCCGGCCATGATTTGCGCCCCCCCTCTTGGACGCCCCCCTCTTGGCCGCCCCCGAAGAGGCATGGGTACCTGGAACGCGCATGGCCGCCATGGCGTTTGCTCGAACCAGGCCCTTGCCCGCGGCCTTGTCCCCGTTCCTTCTCCCTCGTTAGCGGTACGGTAGGTTCGTGCGGCGTTGGCGCGCCGGCGACGCCGGCGAAGGCGTTCAAACTTACATTTCGCGACGCGGAAGCATCGATGTACACGGTGACGCCACTGGACCCGACTGATTTCAACCTTGAGCTATCGGGGCCGCGATCAAGTCAAGGTGGAACGATCGACGCGGTGTCAGAAACCTTTGCGCGCGCCGACGCCGCACGAACCTACCGTTGTCGGATGGGAGGAAATCCATCTCCACATCTACCTCCTCCTTGGCTGCTCCTCCTCCATCCACCTCCTCCTCCTCCTCCTCCTCCTCCTTGTAACCTTTGCCATCGGAGCTTCGGTGTCAGCGGCGTGCTGTGAAACTTGTTCGTATCCTTCCTGCTGCTTCTCCTACTCTCCTTGTTGCTGCTGCTGCTTCTCCTCCTCCTCCTCCTTCTCCTCCCCCCCCACCCAGTCCGCTGCCAGGCCTCGACCCGCCATGTCGCCTCGTCTCGTGTCCCTTCTTGTTCTTCGTCCTCCTCATCTTACTTTTGATATTCATCGTCTTCCTCTCTCTCTGTCTCTCTCTCTCTCTCCCGTTGCGAGGGGGCGCGTTCATGGGCCCTTGCCTTGGGGACATTCGGCGGCGCGTTCGGGGCCCTGGGGGCCTCCGCGGCGGCGTGACATTGATACTCTTTCGCCCCACCGATTAGGCGCCGTCGAACAGAACTGGGGGGACTCCCCCCCCCTCCTCCCCCCCCTGAATTCTCTGCCCCCCTTGGCGCCGGCGGCGGCGCCGACGCCGGCGGCGCCCTCGCCCGCGCCCATGCCCACGCCCACGCCCATGCTCACGCCCACGCCCACGCCCACGCCCACGCCCACGCCCACGCCCTCGCTCACACGCACGCCCACGCCTACACCCACGCCCACGCCCACGCCCACGCCAACGCTTACACCTACGCCCACGCCCACGCCCACATCCACACCCACACCCACACCCACACCGACCCACACCCACGCCCACGCCCACGCCCACGCCCACACCCACCCCCACGCACACACCCACGTCCACACCCACACCCACACCCGCGCCCACACCTACACCCAAAACCACACACACACACCCACAGCACTGCGTCGCACGCACGCAACAACGAACGCACGCGCGCATACCAACCAACACGCATACACACACCTGCACCCACACCAACACCCACGCACACTTTTTTGTTGGCGTCGCGGCCCCGCACGAACACAGCAACGCACGCATGCACGCACGCACACCTACCAGCCCAGGTTGGAGAGGCCTGCGTCCTCGGGAAGGGGGGAGGGCGTTTGTCCAGGCGCTTTAAATTTTTAACGGGGGGGCCGGTTCCGCAGTGTCCAGGGAATTGTTCCAAGCAGGCGTCCATGAATCGCGTTCTTTCATGTTTATGTGCGTGTGTAATGTCGTGTAGGGTCGGGTAATGTAATGCAATATAGTGTAATGTAAGGTGATGTACTGTAACAATATGTAATGTAAAGGAACTGTTATGTCTTGGTGATGAAATGGTAGCTGTACTTGTAGCTGTATCTGTAATATGATGTAATACAATGCAACGAAATCTAATGCGATGCATTGGGGTTTCATGTGTTCTCGTGTAAGGTAGCATAAGTTATGGTAAAGTAGTGTAGTGTAATGTAATATCATGTAATGGAATGTGATGTGATGTAATGTAGTGTAGTACAATATTATAACCATCAGTGCAATACATTGCAGTGCAGTGACATGTAATGCGATGCCATGCATTGTAATGCAGCGTGATGTAGCGTAATTGCACGTGGTGTAATGCATTGAAACGCAACGTAGTGTAATGTAATATAGTGTAATGCAATGCAGTGTAATGTATTGTCATGCGTTATGATGTAACGTACTGAAATATTATGTAATGTAGTCGAATACAGATGTGATGTAATGATACGGAATATTCACTGCTGTAATGTACTGTAAGCGATCTGCTGCAAGTCATTTGAATATAATGTAATGCAATGCAATGCAATGTAATGCAATGTTGTGTAATACGATGTAGTGTAGCGTGTCGTAGTCTAGTATCATGTAATGTGATGTATTGTAGTGTCATGTTATATCGTGTAATGGAATACAGCAGGTGTAACATTGTGCACTGAAACGTATTGTATGATACTTACATGTACTGCAAGTTCGCGTAACTGTAATGTATTGTAAGGTGGTGTAGTGTAATGCAGTGTGTTGTAACGTAATGTAATTTAATACAATGCGAATCGTTTCTTCGTAGGCAACGTAATGTAATGCGATGCGATGTAGTATACTGTGATGTAATGTGCTGTAACGTATGTGTTGGCATGCGTGTTTGAATATGTTCATGTGTGCATGTTTGTATGAGTGTAGAAGTAGAATGTTTTGTGAATTGTTTTTTTCTCTTTCTCTCTCTGTCCGTCGGGAACGTAGGCCCTTCGGACCCCTGTCTAGCCGTGTCACTGGCTTCGGCCGCTGCCCGCACGCCATGGATGGTGGAGCCTCTGGCCTCTCGTTCCGCTGCACACCGCTTCTTCTGCTCGCCGCCTCCGCCGTGGAGGCTCCGCCCCACGCCACCCTCCAGCAGTTCGTCGCTGCGCACGTGGCCGCGTGTAGCGGCGGGTCGAGCCAGGCGTCGAGCCACTGGTGCCCCAGGTGCACGCACAAGGCCGCCAGCGCCCTGGTGCGCCTCACCCCAAACCGTGCCGACTTCCGCGGCGGCGTTGCCTGGCGGCAGCGCCTCGCCGAGCACCCTCCGCGAGGGTTACCGTGCGAGGGGGACGGCCACGGCGCCACTCGGAGGCGCTCTCGCCTCTGTCTGCCAGCCCCCGATCGCCTCCCCCTGCGACTCCCCCGCGTCGCGCTTGCACGCCGCTCGGGGTCTCGGTTCCCTCTCTTCTGTCGCGCGTGCCGTCATGAGGCAGGGGGTCGTCTTTCCGTCTCGCGCTCATAACGCTGCGCCCCAGCCATCAGGGCGTGCGCACCGGCCGCTAGTCCGCAGGGCGCCCAGACACAGTCTGTCCGCTTCAGGGGCCAGTTCTCATCACTGATATTCCTCTCTGCCTCTCTCCCTATTTTTTTTGTTCTCTTCCTATCTCTCTCTCTTCCTCTCTCTCCATCTCTGTCCCTGCCACTCTCTATCCCTCCCTCGCTACCTCCCTGGCTCCCTCCCTGTCTCCCTCTCCTTCTTCTCTCTCACTCTCTCTCTCTCTCTCGCTATGTATTTATGTGCATTTACATATGTATATATGCATGTATGCATTCATGCATGCATGCATGCATGCATGAACATATGTATACTTGTATGTAAATATGCATGTAATCCAATAAGTAACTATGCATGTACGTGTGTGTATATCTGTATGTACATGCGTCGTGCGCGCAGACACACACGCATACATAAATCTATATATATATAGATATGTATATGCACATGCCTGTCTGTATTCATTTTCTTTTGTTCTCTCTCTCTCTCTCTCCCTCTCCCTCTCTCCTTCTCTCTCTCCCCCTCTCCCTCTCTCCATCTCCTGCCATGTCCCCATCGGTCCCTGCCCTCGGGGCGAGCGATGACTCCTGAGCTGAGCGCTCTGCTCCGGAGAGGCCCTTGGCTCCTCTGCCTCCCCTCCTCGCCAGATCAGGAACGCGTGCCGGCACCCCTCGCGCGCACAGGGCCCCCCTGGGGTCACGTCGGGCATGTCTCCTCGGCAGGAGGACTGTTCCACAATGGTCGAACAAGTAGTCTGGGACGATTTTCAAAATAGTATTCTTGACATTTTTTTGTATGTTTTTGTTCAGTGTGTGTATTTTTTTGTTGTCGTTGTCGTTGTTGGTGTGGTTGTTGTTGTTGTTGTTGTCGTCGTTGTCGTTGTGGTTATCCTTGTTGTTGCCGTTGTCGTTGTTGTTGTCGTTGTCGTTGTCGTTGTCGTTGCCGTTGCCGTTGCCGTTGCCGTCGTCGTCGTCGTCGTCGCTGTCGTTGTCGTTGTCGTTGTTGTTGTTGTTGTTGTTGCTGCTGTTGTTGTAGTAGTACTTGTTGTTGTTGTGGTTGTTGTTGTTGTTGCTGTTGTTGTAGTAATTGTTGTTGCTGTTGCTGTTGCTGTTGCTGTTGTTGTTGTTGTTGTTGTTGTTGTTGTTGTTGTTGTTGTTGTTGTTGTTGTTGTTGTTGTTGTTGTTGTTGTTTTCAGTTTTCTTTTCAAATCCGCCTGTAGGAGGACATGCCCGACCTGACCCTGGGGTCTACTGCCCGTTTAGCGCAAACCCGAAATGCAGCTCGCCCGCGGCTGCGCCCTGGTGCTGCCCCTGTGGTGGCGGCTCGCGCTGAGCGCCTCGCTCAGGCGCCTGCCGCGGCGGCGACGGCGAGGACGACGACGGGGGCGGGGCAACCTCTGCGCATCGAGGGTCGAGGCCGAGTAGGAGGAGGAGGAGGAGGAGGAGGAGGAGGAGGAGGAGGAGGAGGAGGAGGAGGAGGAGGAGGAGGGGAGGAGGAGGAGGCAGGAGGCAGGAGGAGGAGGAGGGAGGAGGAGGAGGAGGAGGAGGAGGAGGAGGCAGGAGCAGGAGGAGGCAGGAGGGGAAGGTGGAGGAGGAGGAGGAGGAGGAGGTAGGAGGAGGGAGGAGGAGGAGGAGGCAGGAGGAGGCAGGAGGAGGCAGGCCCTCCTCTATCCTCGACTTCCCTCCGGGGTCCCTCCTCGGTCCTCGGTCCTCTCCCCCCCCTCTCCCCCCTCCTCCCAGCACCTCGATCCTCGACCCCTCCTCGATCCTCGATCCCTCCTCCTCCTCCTCCTTCTCCTCCTCTGCCCCGTGCTTGCGGGGAGGCAGATCAGGCAGGATCAAGGAACGAGGAAAGGGGATCGAGGGGATCTCGAGGAGGAGGCATCGAGAATCCAGGAGGACGGGTCAAGAGGTCGAGGAGAAGGAGGAGAGACCGAGGAGGAGGGATCGAGGATCGAGGCGTTAGGAAGGTGGGGGGAGGAGGGATCGAGGAGGGATCGAGGATCGAGGTGCTTGGAGGGAGGGAGGGAGGAGGGACCGAGGATCGAGCAGGTCTCCGAGGATCGAGCAGGAGGGATCGAGAGGGACGACCGGGTCCGCCTCGAAGTGCCCGCCTCGGTCGACCTCTCGAGGGAGGAGGCCCAGGCCTTCAGCGCCCCGAGCCAGGACCTCAGCGCCCCGAGGCCGAGGCCCAGGCCTTCAGCGCCCCAGGCCTTCAGGCCCAGGCCTTCAGCGCCCCGAGGGAGGAGGCCAAGGCCTTCTGCGGTGCAGTTGGTTTGCAATCCCGGCGTTTGGGAGCCGCCTCTGGGCTTCGGGGCGACGACGCGCGCCCCGCGACGCGAGCCTGCTCTCCAGGGGGGATCGAGAGAGCCCCGGGGCCCACGTGGTGTGGCAACCGAAGACGACGTCGGAGGGCTGGGCTCTGCGCTCTTCATTCTGCTACAGTTTCGCGCTGGGCAGGGCCGCGCGGAGCAGGACCGAGAGGAGAGGCAAATCGTGTTGGGGCCTCGGCGCCGGGTGCACAGATCGCGATAGAGCTGCACGTGCGATTCCCGTGCAGCGATCTTGCTTTGGACGGACTTCAAGCTTGATTTGTTGTGGCAGCACGCAAATAGCGAATGCCATTCCAGGCACGGGGCATGTGCGTTTTGATCAGGTTCCTTCAATAGCAGGGTGTGCAGTAACGATGCGAATCGCAGGACACGCTTAGCGCATTTCCATGCCACGGCAATATCAGCTGCCTGCAGCAAGCCCGCCACCGTGTCAGCCCAGCACTTTGGGTGGCGACTGTTCGAAGGGGTACCGGAGCCCGTCACGTGTGACATCTCGTGCCCCCGAGCCGAGGAGAACCGTGATGAGATCATGATGCTGCTGCTGCTGATGATGATGATGATGATGATGATGCTGATGCTGATGACGATGATGATGCTGATGCTGATGTTGATGATTGCGATGATGATGATGCTTCTGCTGATG